GGCGGGTCCCTCCCGGGGGGCCGGGCGGGCACCCCAGCGCGGCGCTTGGGGATTGACAACCACAAAAAAACACGAACGGATTTTATCCCAGTGAAGTCGCGCCCCTCCGCTCCAGCCTGATTTGCAGGCGAGAGGACAAGCCGCGCTGTGCGGGGCAGCCGCCGCTTCTGGCTAAAAGAGCTCCGAGGCTCAACCGGAGAATCGCTAGGATCTTTAGAGGACCTGTAACAACAAAAAAAAAGCTGGAGCAGCAGACTGGCAGCTTAAGCCTGAGCTGCAGACTTCATTACTGAAAGCCTAAATATCTGTCCGTATGTAAAATACTAGTTTCTGCTGCTGTGACTGCACCAGAATCACTGGGGAACGGCCGAAAAATTCAGGGGGTACGAATGCAGCTTTGTAGAATGATTTGCTTTGGTTACTTCTCGGGGAGGAAATTTGTGGAAGTGCTGAAAGGTAGGAGCTGTCTTATCAGCCGTACCGGGGCCACGGGGAACTTTGAAGTAAGTGATCATGATAGTTAAATAACACCTACTTACCCTAGACGGATACCTTCAAATAGCCACTTTTTCAGCAATGTGAATCTGACCACTGGCCACTTTGGATCAGTGACTCCTTCGGGCTTTCCTTACCCTTCTCATGATTGCTTAAGAAACCACAAAATTGCATGGACTTCCTTGTCCTAATATGTTGGAGCTGTCCTCTTTCTGCTTTCCTGATCTACCAGATTTCTTAGGTGAGCTCTTCATCTTTCTTCCATTTTTTGTCTCGTTTCAGTCTTCCCCAAGTGCACAGAAATTCTGTACGTGTGGACCTTAATACTTTAAGGTTTGTATGCTTTTTTTTTTGGTAAATTCAGCAAAAGTTCTGCAGGCATTCAGAGCTCTGGGGAAAATGGGCCGAGGAATCCAGTATGAAGCCTTGAGAAAACAGGTCCCAGAATCTGGGGAACCAGCAGCTGAAAAACTCTGATCTGCAGGACTGCCCTCCCTTGTCTGTCCAGACAGGGCCATTACTTATGGTGCAGAGCACCAACAAGTACGAGTCAGGATGGTCAGGCTCAGGCTACCTAATTGATAGGCCAGGGTGCCGTTTATGAGAAGGTTGTAGAGAAATGAAATATGGAATGGCAGAAGTAATAGTGATACAAATGAGGTCTGGGAGTCACAAAGAGTTTAAGAATTTTGGGAAGTTACTGCCTTGATGTTGAGTTACGAGAACATTGACGCTCCACATTAGGAGTTTCTAGCTTGTTAAGGGGTATGTGAGTTCCACATCCAAATGACTCTCCTATTAAATATAGACTAGCATAATGCTTAGACAAGTAGATAGTAAAGCCAGCCCACATTATGTAAGGGAAGTAATGTTTTCCTAATCTATTAGAATTCTTTGGAAAAGTTAAAGGAAGAATGAAGCTGGCCTACTAGACAACAGTCTAGAGATTCAGTCACCAATAAGAAGTACTTTCTGAGGAGAGATCACCTTTTTAAAGTAGGTAGCTGAAAAAATTAAGAAAAAATCTGACATAAATCTTAGGAAAGAACACTTAATGAGTATGCACATAATTGCGTTTTGATAAAATGTTTAGATACAATGTCAATTTTAATGGAATAATAGAATTAAGAGCACTTGCACTGATCTGCTCATCAAGTGGACCCAAATGGTCTTACTGGCTCCTGACACTCCATGACTGTCTAATGCATCTGTCCCTCTTGCCTTATATAGATGGCAAGGTCTTTGGGCAGGGAGCATCTTTTTTATGCTGTGTTTGTGAAGTGCTCCATGACAGGTGCTTATGTGTGCTGCAGTAGTGCAAATAATGAATAACAAATATTTTCCCATTAGGCAGTACTACATAGCACCTGCTTAGACCACTTATGCTTGCAAGAAGAAAAGCACTTGTTAATCTGCTCTATTCTCTTTCTGTTTAAATAAAACAAGTTTTCAATGGTGGGTATCCCAAAAAGTAAATAGTACTTTCTGGTGAATACAGAGAGCATTTCCTGGAAGTGGATAACATTGAGTGGATATCCTGGAAGTGCTTGTAATCTGTACTTGGAAAAAGAAGGAAAAATACCCTGATGTATTTTCAGGTCAGGTTTTGGCTATTATAATTGATTAGTTTGTGAATTTGCATCGCACAGTCCACAGAATCTCATCTCATAGTTTTTGCATCAGCCAAAAACTTTTAATTGTGTTAAAATATAATACTTCAAAAGACACGGTCTTGGCTGAAGGGTTCAAACTGGAGGAGAATTTACCATAAGGAGATTGTTCCAGAGGCTGAGACTCTTATGTGTTGGCTGAGAAAGGGGGTTTGAGGTAATGCTTTGGTCTCTCAAAGGAACCAACCACGCTGTTTTGCAGCTCCAGGTTACAGCTGGGTGACGTGCTGGTCATCTGAAATTCTGAAAGGAACTTCTGACCTTCTTTCTCCAGAAGACGAATGCTGGCTTATGTGACAGTGATGGGAACTGGTCGCTTTTGAAAAACAGTAGTCCAACATTTCAGCTCCCCAAAGGTGAACATAGGATACCTACTTAGAGGAATATAGGGAGAACCTTTTATAATTCTACTTAGCATTTGACATTTTTGAAGCCACTACACCCCTTTTAGGCTCTCGCCTTAGCAAAGAATAAAATGAAGTTTATAGGTGCTCCTGTCACTCCCTTGTCTTTAGGAAAGCCTGGCAGACTTTTTTAGACACTGGAATTTAAGGCAGTTAAAGTTAATAGAGATGAAACCCATCCTATATAATCCTTACAAAATCCCTTGGCCATTTACTAGATGGTGCTGGATGCTTTTTATGATATTCTCAGTGGCCTGACTCCTGCTGGTGGCTAAAGAGTTTGAAGAGCTTGGACAAGGACTCCGTGCGATAGCTAAAGTAGTCCTTTTTATTTTTTTTAAATGCTTGGGAAATTTGTTTCTTCTCCAAAGCGTTTCTAAGCTGTCTCAATATTGCCTGGTGGAACTCAGTGCTTCGTAGGAAGTGGCCTACTCCTTAAAAAGGTATTTGTGATGTGGTAAAGAATATACACTAAGTGAGCAATAGCACAGAGACCAGAATTCTTCTCCTTTACCAAAAATATGTTCCCACAACAATGGGAGTACAAGCTGCAAGTTCCATCTGCTCCCTCGCGTGGAGTGATCCCGTGGGCCTGCAGGACGACACCTTCTGTTTCAGTTAGAACTTGGCTCCGTTTGAAGAAACATCATCAGCATTTGTACAGCAGTACAAGAAAGCATATAAGCAACCAACTGCTACCCTAAGCCATTAAGTGAATATTCCATTCAGTGCTGCCATGCTCACACATATAAACATTTATGTTTCTTTTTTTCTTCTTTTTAGATGCACTTAAATTTATATGATAGTTATTGATTTTTAAATAAATTATTATTATTTTTTTCACTTGCAGCACTTCATTCCAGACATAACAACAGCCTGCCCAAATGATCTGCTGACCTGTTCTAGATTTCATTGTCTATATAATAAATGCAGGGTAAGTCCTGTGACTGATCCACGTGGAAATCATTTAGCCATTAATCACTATGCAGGATAAGACCATGTTTGCATTTTATGATACGCTATCCATTTTTATGCTGAAATACTAAAAATCAGTCTAATCCAAAGAATGTCAACTTTAATACACTATCATTGTAGATTAAAATTTCCTGATTTTAACTAAAAATAACTCATTCTGTCTTAAAAATATTTTAATTTATCTGTAATATGAATTTTGGGGACTTCTGCATGTCTTGGTTGGAGACTGAGGGAACAGTAGGAGGCAACTTGTCTCCACCTGAAGCAACACAGACAATTGGTAAAACTGTAAAGATGGACTCTTTACCTGTTCATCCTCTCTGTTTCCACACAGTCCCTCTCTACACTTGTTATGAGCTTATTAATAAAATCTATTACTCAAATGAGAAGAAAATTATGGTGACCTCCAGTCAGTGAAGCTGGCTAGCAGAGCTGGGGTCAAGTGTAAACTAGGAAAAAAGACTTGGTAAGAGGAGCTGCTGTATTCTAGATGCTGCCAAGGTGCGTGCATTCCTCCATCCGTAATCCACCTCTACATGCTCTGACAAGCAGAGCATCTACAACAGAAGCCAAGTTGAATAACCACTTATAAGTTCATCAGAATGCAACTGAGAATTTAACATGCTTAAACAGGTCAGACTAAATTTTCAACCCTGCTTTTTATTCTTTCCTTGCTCAGAGTACTTTGCATGTCTTTTACCTTCAAGCTACCTTTGACAGATTGCTATATGGATGTAAAATGGTAATATTTTTCATTATTTTAACTTTAACAATTTAAGATTTCCATGACCTAGACTAAGTTCTGCATAAATTCTGCTTAGATAAGAGTAAATCATTACAGCCAGTAAAATTATTCCTTGTGGAAAATGAGCCTTGTGAGTTTCGTGCTTTTCGCTGTCTTCTTATTACTTCTTTTTTCTTTTATTCTAACTGCAGAGCTGTTCATGTGAGCAGGCTTCAGCTGATAAGTTTGTATATTGTTCATGTCCGCTTGGGATATCCTTTCAATGAGCAACAATCTAGAAGTGTGATTGTAACACTGGGGAACTCAGTAGACCAGATGATTAGCTGTTGGATTCGTGCTCCTCAGTGCCGTAATGACCTGTCTTCCTGCACACAATCACTCTCAGTGGACACTGAACTCAAAATCCTATTTCTTGGGCCAACTTTCAATTTTATCTTAGTTATAGTATGTGAGGAAGGCACATGGTTGGACCAAAGCGCCATGTTCCGGCTCACCTCAGTTAATGATTTCTGGGGGACTTTCAGGAAATAGCATAAGTTAAGGCAGTCACCTAGCTGCAGTGCAGGAGTAGAAAGGGAAAGCTAAACCAGCCTTCCCTTCTAGCTCTGAAAAACAGAAACACCGATCTTCAAAGAATCTGGGCCAATGTGTTCCTCACACTTCAAGTGATAGTCCCACTCACTCCACACTCCTCATGCTGTGCTGCTTCAAGGTTTCACAGCCTCTCTTCATGCCAAGGGGGTTTCCCAGTTTGCCCCGCTTCTCTGGCAGGTAAAAATCCTTGGCTTCAGAACACAAGGCTTCAGGATCTCTTGACAGAGAGGACTAGAAGTTGGGAGTATTTCCATGTAAAGTCTTTTTCATGAAAACATGCTCATCTGTTGAAACAAAATTTTTGTAGGGAAGAGCTGATTTGGATGATTTTGCCATTTTAAAAAATGGCATACAAAGGACTCAACAGATTTCAGAGCATATGGGGTTTCATTCTCCGCTATCTTACACATTGCCTAGCTGTTTACATTCTGACAAGGCAGATGTAAAAGACAACCTCTCTGCCTTGTTAGGATTTACTTCCACTTAGTTACAGGTATGATTGCATGCACAAGATTAAAAAGCCTGGTGAATCAGTTCTCTACTCCTTTTCCTATTTGATCATTGATCAGTTGCTATCTGTTTTCAGCCAATGTGTTCAGCCACATTTAGTTTTATATGCTCTTCATCTACTGAACTCTTCCTCTTTTGCTTTGCCTTTCCAGCCCTCTCCTGCTTTATCTCAAGTCTTTGCATCTTTCTGGGTTACTACATCCCATGTGTTTTGAAAGGAGTGTATATTTAGAAATCGGACGGGAATGGGAGGAAGAAGGAAGCCAGAATGATTTTGTTCACTGTATTTTTGTGGGAGCAGGACACTCTGACAGCAAAGCGAGGAGATGATACTTTCCCTTCTCTTTAGCGGCTGCACCTGAAATACTGCATTTCATTCTGGCATCCTACAATGAGAAATATGACGATGAAGAAAGAAGAAAGAAGAGCAGTAAAAGTGATTAAGAGACTAGATATACTACTGACTTATGAGGAAAGGCTAAATTAATTTTAAAAGGGTATGGCTTGGCCAAGCCAAGGACTACAGAAAATATCATAGCTGTCTGAAAGCCGACTGTAAAACTGAGTGAAGAGGGGAATTGATTGCAGTAATTCAGGGTGTGTAGAGACGATAAGATAAAATGCATCCCCCCCCCCCATGCTTGATATAAAAAATAAGCTTGCCTACACTATAGAACTGTCTCCTTAGTACACTGGGTTATTGGGATTTCACTTTACTATTTAAAGAATGTACTTCAGAATTCGTAGTAAGTCTCTGTGCTATATTCAGTTGATTAAACTAGTGAAGATGCAACTTCCGCATACCTATATTTCTGTCATGTTGGAAAAAAGAGTCTCAAAGACCACAATGGCAGGCAGGTATATGTAAATCTGTATGTATGAAAGGCAAATCTCTGACCTACCTTGATTGTTTCTTGTGCCTTTGAGAACTGCTTTCCCTTAGTTCATGGTTGCCAACACTTAAGGGGTTTTGTGCAATTTCTCACAATTGCTTCAATCCAAGAATCTTCTTACTCGGGTTTAGTCTTTGTATCCCTCAGAAGATGTCTATCCTAAGACCAAGAGCATTGTTGTAGGTGAGATATCGAGAGGCAAAAATACTAGGAGTTAATGCAGAAACTGATTGTTTTGAAAGTAAGGCATATTTTTCCTTTCTCCTTTGCTGTGATCTTCTGGACAAGATCACAAGGTCCTCAGCAATTACATGTATGTAGAGGAAAAGTCTATTCTGGCACTCTTGTTCTAATAAAATGAATATTAGGATCAAAATAACTCCGCTTTCTCCATCCCCCTTTGCATGTTTAAAAACTATGATTGTTACAAAGGTTTAATATAATAAAGAAGCATGATGTGTGTTGTCACCAGCTAGCCATTGAGAGTTAATGATACGAGGCTCACTGAATTATTTTAGTATCCTCTGTGAGCATTAATGCATTTTACATTGTGAACTCTAATTGCGAACTTGATGTCCTAAATTGTTTGAGGTTTGCCTGTGTGGTTTATTATTCCTGAATATAAACTAGAAAAAGCACCAAAGTCTTGTTACAGAATCAGAGCAAAAGTCTATCTAGGCCAGCATTCTGTCACTTACAGCGGCCAACACAGGATGCCTAAGAAAGGGAGAGTTCCATGTGAACATGAACTCCCCAATATTTTTTCCTGTCCTCCACTGATTTGTGGCTATAGGACTTCCCAAGCCAGAGCTGGAAAAACTTCAGTACTGTGAGCAGAGTTGGCTGAAATTTTTCACTTGAAAGACTTCCCTATCAAAAGATTCTCCTTTTGATGAAATAAGTTTCTCTTTGAAGTAGAAATTTCAAAACAAAATTATGCATCCTTAATATTTCGAATATTTAAAAAAGTAAACTTTAAAATGTTTCATTTTTCAGTTTCTAACTCTGTAATATTTCATTTCTTTCACTGGAATGATAGTAGGAATCCCAAAAAAAAAAAAAAGGAAGAGAAAAAGACACTAGACCTAATTAATTATTCCATTCTGTGAGCAAATAGGAAAAGAAAAGTGCGAGGATGGGGATGAATTTCTAAAATTTGTAAATTTGTAATTTTTTGATTACCTAATGTAAAGAAAAATAAAAAAATTGATCTTTTTTGAATCTACTTTTGATCGTTTTTTTCTTATAACACATCTAACGTGAAGATAAAAAGTATTTGAACATTTTTTTGACCTATTGTAGTTAATGAAACTCTGTGGTCACCTGACTATATTAACACATTCAGTTTTTACTACTCTTAAAATTCAAAAGATACCCTAGCGCCAAACCCTCTTTAATTACAGTTTTCTGACGCATTTGTGATGCATAATGCATTTCAGTACCATACCGGATGCTTGATGTTGTTGAATAAACTCTTAGCAACATGCATGCACAATATAGATCCTCCAGAGTCCTACAGATCGAGTTGCTGCATTGTTTCTTAGTTCTATTAGGGCCTCCTGATGTCATTTTGACAGTGTTAAAATGCCCTAAAGAGGGTGAAAAGGGTGGCTTTCTGAGGCTCTTTCCCCTCTCTCAGTGCAGATGACCTCCGTGGAAATGCGGTACTGGCGTGGAACACATTAAGAGTCATACTAGTTGTAAGGTGAACCAGGTATACCTTCAATTTCTTTCCTAAGAATTGAGTAAAGCAAAAAATAACTGAGACTGCTCTAACTCACATTTGGGACAAGGCAGGTCTCTCTGGATACTCACAGCCAACAGCACAGGCCAAGGCTATATCATTGCCTGTCTTCCTTTTCTGCTATTCATACCCTGAAGGTAAAAGAAAGCACTGAAGAACCAGCTTCCTGCAAGTGGAAGAAAGGTTCCTGAAAACTTATTATAGGAACAGGTTCCTGCAAGTAGAAGAAATTTGAATGTACAAGCTACACACTTTTTTGAAAGACAGAATTAAAATATTGTTGTCAGGTGATGCTGAAACAAAAGAAAGGCAGATCACTTAAACACAGCAGAGTTGGGAATGGTTGATGTTGTAACAACTGCTAGCTTGACTGTGCCTCCAAAGGAGGTGGTGCAGACAGTGTAGCAAACAAAGGTCCTCTTCTGGCTAAGGCTCTCCTGCTTGAAGAGTAGCTCAGAATGCAATTTATGACATGAAATTAGATCTAGGGCTGGCAAAAGTTATCTTACAGCTAGGTTAAAATATTCTGAACTTCAGCACTCTGGTACCAAGCAAATAAACATGACATTTTGAAATTAATGTGGTGCTAGGGAAAATGGCCAGAACGCCGTTGTTAATATGGTTAAATCATCTTTAGGTCATACTAAAACAAGCCACTAAAGCTTTCAGTGCTGGAAATATTTTATTGCTTCTAATATAAATTCACTGATAATAGTTATTAGCATAACTGGGAACCGATCACACCAGAGGTCATATAGGTTCATTTAAGCTGGGGTCAGAGTGCTTTCTCGGATGGCAAGCAGTTTCAGATTTAATAATAATAACTTTACTGTGAAAAAGTCAACTGAGTCTTTGCAAAGTACAGGGGCACAGCTTGGTACTTTTATATATTCTATTAGAGAATCTGCTATGAATAGAAACTGCCTAACACTTCAGCATTTTTGAGGCTACCGGTAAAACTTTTTTTTATTACTATTATACAGTTCCAGAGTCACAGAAAAGTAGCTTGCTCACTTTTTTGCACTTTCAGTATTTCATGTACTCCTTCCAGTCAATATGTCCTTTCCAGCATGCTTAGATGAACTGCAGACGCATATATCTTGAAGCAGCTGCTGCAAGTCAATGAACAGGACCAGGTGAGATCGAAGAAAAAAAAGGTTGGGATGCATTCATTTGTTCTTTACTGTATTTTCAGCTGAAACTCAAAAAGTATTAAAAAGATAATTATCTATTGTTTCTACATAAGGTAGAGGTAGCTTTTATATAACGTACGACAGCCGTCTCTCCAGTCAGTTGGTATTTTGTCTGGCATCTAATATCTGTATGAAAAATGCCTTCACCGTGCCAATCTCACGTTGCCAAGTCACAATCCAGAGCTGCAGAAGAACAAAGGCAAATTCAATAACTGGAAAAATAAAAGAGAAAAAAGACTGGCCTGGGGCAAGTTTTCACTTAATGCTGTTAGGAGCCCTAGTGTGAGGGGAAGAACTGTTTCAAAGCCTGTGTTGTTCTGCTCTTCCTTCAGGATAGTGTTTGCTTATTTGCGTCTAGGTATAAGGAAATACGAGGTTAGTGTACATCAAACCCAGTGGAGCCCCTCAATGGAAAGCTGAGTATGTAAGACGCACTCTGCCAGAGGCTGAGATCTTTGCAGTTGTGGCTAGAGCTGCTGGTATCTCAGTTAACCTGTGTTGAGCTACTTCAGGTAACTCTACCCTAACTCTGCAATCTGCAGTAAAGATATAGGCTAGTTCATCTAGGCATCTAGGTTTTGTTTTCAGAAGTGACTGACATTAGGAAGTTTCCCTGTACAAGAGCAGAACTTAAATTTACTTAGATTCCTAAGTCTTTTCAATATTTTTGCGAATTGTACCCATATTCTGGCAAACCAGGCAAAAAACATGCCTGTCAGTCGATATCTAATCTGCGCAGAGGGTATTAGCACTTACAGCAATAATGCACCCATTAACATTAATTGGCATTCTTAGATGCCCTTTTTCCCCCTCTCACTTTTTGAGAGCAGACGTGATTGAATATTGATGGAGAAAATATTTTTGGAAAACAAATGAGAAGCTGATCTTTAACTGATCTTTAAGCATGCATACAAGATGTATGCTTTGGAAAATACTTAAGATATAATCACACATTGATATTTCCTGAGCACATCCGGCATTCTCATGGGACGCCTTCTTTTCCAAAACTTTCCTTCATGCATATATCCATATGATTTTGCATGATTTTAGAACTGTTCAAAAATTCCTTTCTCCTAGCTGAAGTTAACAAAGGGCTTCAGAAGCAGAAGGACAATAATCAAACTTGGGTGTTCAAGAATCACTGAAGAACTGTCCGGCTTTGGAAGTTGTAGCAGTAGTTTCACTTCACTGTGAGAACTTGCTCCAGGAAAGTAGCAGGTAACTCTGTGACTTCTACCTTCTCTTCATCCCCTGCCTGACACGTCTTCTTTCACATGGATGGCACTGTTGGTTATCTCTGTGACTGCAAGTACATTGGAATCGCCCTTTTTGTACTGGTGTTCCTTGAATTAAAACGTTACCCAGGCTTTGGGACCTTGGTGGGTTGTTACTGGTAAAAGGAGTAATTGGTGATAAAAGCTTGGTATGCCTTGGGTGTGATCTCTTGTTTCCACTGCATTTTAGCAGTTCTCTTGGAAACTAAAGAGCATGTGTACATCCAGCCAGGAGACAAATGAAAGCTCTGAGCACCTTGCAGTTTCCTCCTTCGGTCGCTATGCTGTTTCTTCTCGTGTTCCTCCACATACAGAAGCACGCATGGCCACAACCCGTCAGCTTGTGTATGTGCCATCTGTCCCAGGAAAACAAACCTCTCAGATCACAGTTTGACTTTGCTTAAGTTTTAGCTGTTGCCTCCACACAGAGGTGCATTTATTAACTTTTACCTTTTAGTCTAAACAAAGGGTCTGGCATTTTCAGTGATACTTTTTGAATCACACTTGCCTGCAGTGACAGCAGTTACAGTCCTCCAGAAGACCAGGATGACTGCCAGGACTATTGGCTACAGTTTCCCAATACAGAGGTTTCACTGACTTGGTGAGCAGTATTTTCTGCTCACTGTCTGGCTGTAACGGTTCTCTAAAATCAGATGGATCACTGAAGTTTGCACTTTGCCTTAACTCTCAACATTTCAATAAGGGTTCCCTAAATCTCCTTGAGAAACAAATAAACCTTGGCTGCCTGGTGCCTGGTGATAGAACATTAATTACTTGTATATTTGCCCTGGATGATGTGGGGTTATTTTTAAAAAGCATTGGACAGTGTAGGCAATGAGTCTGTGTAAGCAGAGAAGGAAAACACATGTTGAAAAACTCTCAAGAAAGGCTAGACCTGGCACTTTAACAAAGATGTGCATGAGACAGACAATGCTGCAAAGTCTTGAATACCACAGGTAATGTGACACTGCAGATGTTTTTAATGGGAGCAAAAGCTCTATAGAAGTGTTTTCATCTGATTACACAATTACTTGTGTTGCAGGCTCAGAATTAAATAGTTTTCCAATTCAAATAGGATGAAGTAATTCCCGGGTTTTATGGTTGCCATTTACACCTGTAAAGATATGGAAAATGAAAGCTAGAGCAATCATGTTATTAACTTAAATCTCTTTTCATCTTTCTCATGAACAGGTTAACTCGTCTCATTATTTCTTCCTCAGTTAAGGCCTTTTGTTTGTTTCCTTCAGGTTAATTGATAATATGCTAATGAATAATCCCTCAGCATGTGAATTCACATTCTGTTTTTGTGTGAATATGAATTCACACAGAAAACAGAAAAAAAACATGACCTTAACAAATGCTAACCTTGTTGTGGTTCCATGCATTTAATTTATTCATGTTAAGTAGCTAAATTTTGGAGTCAAAGCACTTTTTAGGATTACTGACTGTTCCTTGGTCACAGAGATATTATCAACCCCAACACTCATAGTCAGTACACCTATAGGATAAATTTATATTTTTTGCAGACTCTTTATGGATAGATTAGAACTATTTAAGAAATGAAGATTCTGGTTATAATATCAAAATATGTCCCTTAGGAGTAGGAAAAAAACAAAAATAGCATTTCTCATTGTGGCCTAAATTTTACTAGTCTCTATTTACTATTTACTATTCTATAATTTTTTAAAAAAGTAAATTGAGTTACATTTATTAAATCTCATTTGTTACCTTGCCAAATATAATCCTAAGGAAGGTTTATTCATTGCTCGGGCAATGCCTTCTAATAGTGAAACATGAATAGGCAGAATGTGTCCTGTAATTACTTTTTAATGGCAGCTGCATCTTTGAGGGAAAAAAAAAAGTATTGGAATAATTTAATCTGAAAATAAAAATAATCTGTAGGAAGGAATACTTTGTGTGTGAAAAGGTCAAATGTTAACTTTCAGCAGAAAAGAGAGCTGAACATGTCTAGACAAAACTAATTGTATAGAGTATAGGTCTTTAGCTGGACGGGGAAGAGAACTAATTTTCCATTCAATTAATTTAAAGAAGAATAACATTATCACGAAGCTTGGGATAAATCTGAACAAATCATTTTTTCTTTATTTAAACTATATTTGCTAAAGGCTAAAAGTTTTTCTGTTAAGCAAAATGTTAAGAGATTTTTGAGAAGAGTGTTGTGTAGTTTGTTAAGCTTACTGCAGACTTTCTATATCTCAGCGGTTGGCTTGTTTACCTGCAGTAATAAAGCATTTCTGGTTTTGAAAAACAAACTAGTCATATGTTTACTCAGTCAGGCTTGTTTATATTCTTCTGTTAGTACAAAGCTACTTGGTCATGGATCTATGCCTGCCCTGTGTAAATAGGAGTGGGATAATGTATACCTCAATCTTATGTGGAAGAGAGGAGATCCATAAAGAACAGCCACAAAGCACGTGGATATGCAAGCCCTTAACCTTGGTCATTAGGTTGATTCTTTTTTGTGGTAAACACTTCCCCACCGGCAGGGACATTTGCCTACCTGAAACTAGTTTGGCGGTGTCACATGGTTGTGTTGTTTTTCACCATCTATAAATTATGATGGACTGTTGCATGCACTGTCAAAAAGCTTTTGCAATCAATAAAGTGACCACTCTGTGTAGCTTTTCAGTCAACTAGAACTTTTCAAAACATGTCCATTTTAAAACAGTTTCAGCTTCTCCTAGTACATTCTTTAAATTGCACATTCTATTTATTTTTTATTAAAAATATATCACTTATATTGGCTTCTTTTCTTTTTCCTGCACTGTGTATTCCTTATTGACCTGCTACAGCTGTTTTCATTTCTGTTGCATGCTAGATTGCTTTGACCGTGTTAAAATGCCGAGATCCACTTTTATAGGAGAGGAGTGCATTTTTTTCTTTTTTGCTATAGGTATATCAAATAAACTCTCTGGATAAAATTCAATAGTCAACTTGAGAATCCCGGAGATGTATTACATGGAACAGAAGTCAACAACTTACTTTTGTTGAAATGGGTGGAAATTATTTCATGTGCGATGTTAAATGCAAATTATAGAGGATATTATTTTGCTTACAGGATGGTCTTTGTATAAACACAATAATCTGAAAATAAGCAATAGGCTTATTTCTACAGCTTAAATGATTTGTTTACCCATTTCTTATTGAAATGTTAATACCTTTGACTATTTTCCTATTCTGATGAGGCAGTTTTTATCATGTTCTTTTTTTCTAATGTAGCATTTTTCTAATTTCAGATATGGCTCCTATTACTGTTATGATAAACTTAATTATAAAGGGGAGTAGCTCTGCTAGGTCAGAATAGATTTAAAAGTACAGAAGTTGCTTGACTAAATTTTGGTTCTGATGCTACAAACAGCTGCATATATTACATTTCATTCATTTCCTAGCTGAGTTCCAGTGAGCTTCGCGGAGACAGAAAGAGCATCAGACCTGTATTAGCATTTGTGTCAGCGGAAATATTTCTATTTGCACCTTATTCAGTGTAAAAGCAATATAGCTCTAGATCCTGGGGATACAACAATGCTTATTTCTTTTCCCCACAGTAAAAGGTAGCTTACAGAAAAGAAGTAACGAATAAGAAAGTATAACAGGTTCTGTTTTCAAAAATCTCTGTCCTATTTTATTCCTCTAGAAGACATTGATTTCCATAAAGCAGGGTTAGGTTAAGGCTGAGCTTTTTTTAACCCATCCCTGTCCACTACTAGTCTCTCCCTTCCACTTTTGGACTTTTTTGGGAACCTAATTAAAGCTAGTGAAAACTTTCTGGGTTTCTACTTTAACAAAGGTGCCGAAATAGAGAATAATTGTGAGAAGTGAAATAGCAAATTCACTTTTACTCACCATATAGTGGTGCTTAGATCATGCCATCATATTATTACTAAGATTGTTAGTTGCTGGGAGTTTTGTATTCTGAATGTGTCTAATATGTCTATGTCTATGTTTCATGGCTGATACTCCACTTAATGACAAAGTAGCTCTTCAGCTGTTACAAAACTTCTCTGGCAACATGTAGAGCATTCTGGAGAGGTCCAGCGCTTTCCTTTAACTCATTAAAAAAGGCAGCCTCTAGACAACATAACAAACAGATGCATTAAGTATTAATATTTCACATAAATCAATAGATTTATGTACCCATTTGAGTCAGTTTTTGTTACTATCTACATTTCTCTCAGGATAGCCTGAAAACCGACATTTTGAAAAAGTTGACAGTTACAAGCTTGTGGAAATGTTTTCTCCTTCTTTCATTTTCATCTGCATCCTTCATACAGAGCATGGGGATTTATGCGTTTATCTCATTTTAAAGAATTAAAATGTTGATATAATTTGGGGGACAGGGGATAGATCTAATGGAAAACAAAAAAATATAGCAAGCCACAATGGTTTGTGAAGGGCTCATAGCTGTCAAACATGCACAGCTGACAGTACTTTGAGTCAGCTCGATTTGCTTAGCTGCATGTAGAAAGAGTGACTAGCATTTGTGTATACGATTATATTATAAGCTGTATATATGTATGCCTGAACTATGCACAAACACTATAAATACGCACTGCTGCGTGGTTTAGTGCATATATGTTGGTAAAAAGACCATGTAGGCATGTTACAGAGTCATAGACCTTAACCTTTTCCAGCAGCTGTTGTGTGACAGGGAGGCTGTCATGTCCCCCCTCTTCGCTTTCCTCTCTCCTCACGCAGGCAGCATGGGCGGCTGTTAATGGCCCAGCTTCCTTACTCAGAAGCATTAATCTTTTCAGTATTCCTCTTGCAGCATGAAAGATGCACTGGGACTAGTCTCTCTTCCCTCGAGGAAGGAAATTAGCTCCCTAACAGCTTGTTTCAGGTGCATGAGGCAGATGCCTAGCATTTCAGCTATACTGAAATATATATATGCTTGCTGTCCACAAATAAATATTCATTAAGTGCTACGTAAGCATGCTCTAGAGTCAATCACCATGGTTTGCTAGAGTGACTTAGCACTCTGTTGAAGGTAGCAGGGTGATGTTCGTTCATGTTCTTGCAGGAAAAACTCCTGAAAACATTTTTATGGACTTTCTTTCATTAGATGTCCCATATTTTTGGGTCTGCGAAATAAAAGCCTAAATGAAGTGGCTGGGTTCACTACAGAACTCTTTCTTCTGCTTCCTTGACTGACAGAAGAATAATAGTTTTGTTTTTCTTCTGCCCTCCTAGCTGGCTGGTAATTCCTTTTCGCCTTTTCTCTCTAGATTGTTTTTTCTTCTGCAGGACAGATTGGAAACAAAGACTTGATTTTCTCCTAGTTTGTATCTTATGCAGCCAGTTATAGGTGTGTGCCAAGTGTCACCTTACTACAATGGCAATGTTTTATAGAGGTATAAATTAGAAGGTACAA